GGATCCGCTATTAGTTTCCCTCCGCAGACATGTGATTTGGACTGTGTTTTACAATTGAAAACTACTATTTCTGCACAATGGCACCTATATCCACAGGGGACCTATACTAGAACATTATTTTCTTTCTAAAATGAGCCAGAAATAGTAATACCCAACCGAAAAATGTAGAATTTTATGGATGAGCCAGAAATCTTAGTTCCTCCTCGCAAAATGTGATCCACGTGTCTTTGCCTAAAGTGAGTCAGAAATATAGGTTGCAAAATTTGGTTCATTCTATATGATCGGACCTAGAAAGTTTCACGGAAGTCTATAAACTCTCGATGTAGACATCGTCATATTCCGGCCAAAATATTACAAGTGGTGTGCGACGTTTCAAAATTTCCGCTGCAATTTTATTTTTTACAGAGAAATTGCTCAACAAAACTGTCCGAAAATTTCACTGAATTTATTTCGTGCTACCGATGAAATTCAGTGAAATTTTCAAACATATTCAACCAGCAATTTCTATGCAAAACAATTAAATATGGGTGGAAATTTTGAAACGCCGCATAGCGCTTGTGATACTTTGTCCGAAAGGTGACAAGATATGTGCCTGTTCCTATCGCCCTCATCCATTTCAAGAATAACAAATCTGCTGTGTAAACCCCTGCACAGAAACGCGCTTCCACTAATATGTTACCGCTCTGAATCCCTTTCAGTTCTCTTTACCGGGGCGCGGAAAGTGAAAAGTGGGACCCGACAAAGGAACTGCCGGGTGATAATCCTCGACCGCAGGGCCAAGCCGGCGAGCATAAGTAATAACAAGGTTGTTTTAATTCATATCGTGCTCTCGTGTTGATACATCGATTTATTGCATCGGTGGGCGGCCCGGCGTGCGGCATGCGCCCATGGCAGGTAAAGTTGCCTATCAGCTGCCTGACTTAAATCCCAAGTATAATCTTCCTGTCTGCGCGTCGAGCCAACATTGCCAATTTTAGATTCCCTCACGCCTTTTGAATTTTTCTTCGAGCTTGTGGAGTATCAGCAGTGACAAATAGACCCTCCAGCATTCGCGGCTGGGACCTGACGGTAACAGTGGGTCGATTGTTGAAACTGATAGACAAAGCGATGGACAAGGAAGTCGTAAGGAATATGGAGCGATCCTATTGGTTGCAATGGGTGGTTCTAATAGACCAAGAAAGAACATGATTGACTAACTGAAGGGCCTCTCATTTGTTGCTGTTAGTTTTTCTATTACCTACCTCCTTTGTCCATTGAAACCAATAAGATCCCTCCATATCCCATTTGCCTTTTTTGTCTATAGCTTTGTCTATCAATTTTAACAATCAGCCGACAGGGTTTGACCGGGAGTAAAATATATCTGCGAAAATCAGGGAAATCGTCATTAAATTAGTGATTAAAATTGAGAGTTTCTGCTCAAATAATTTTTGAATTGGCGGTTCCTGTTGATGCAACTTTACGGAATCAGACAAAATATGAAAATACTGATTTTTCCCATTCTGATTTTGAGAGGAATATATGTTCCACTCGAGAAAAAAGTCTCTTGGATCCAGAACTCAGCCTCTTAAAAAATTAGACAAGAAAAACTACCCTTGATTCGATCGGATTTTTGCTTGAATCAAAAGGAAGTCCGCTAAATTAAGACCTCTCAATTCAAGGAAAAATCCTATTGAATCAAGAGTTTTTATCTTGTCAAATTTTTTAAAAGCCAGGACTCTAGATCCAAGGACTTTTTTCCAGTGTTGTTTCTAAGATTCACTAACAATCACAAAAGTATGTTACACAGCTTAATTCTGACCTATTCTTTTTCCCTATTCTGTGTAAGTAAATGGTCAAAAACTCCGAACAAACTTTTAAAAGGAAATATTATCTTACGCGTATAATCTTTATCAGCATGTCCTGTTAATAGATCGCAGCCCTAAAGAAACTCCTCTTTCGAAATTCATGAGCTCCCTCCAAGAAAATACGCAAAAGTCATCTCCTCTCGAATCGTCACTTAAAACTTCAACAAAAGCACTTTGTCAACTCGGCCAGCACCCGAAGTGTTACACGATAAATTTAGCAGCGATGTTTTAAGTCGCTTCTCCGCTCGTTGTACAATCTTGTAAATATTTATAAAATACTCTGATGTTGGAGTGCAAAAACTCAGATCCTCCATCGGGGAGGGGGGAAATTTCGAGTCTGAGCTCCAAGCGCGTGGGTCTAATTTTAATTTTTGAATAAATAACGCGCGGAGTCCGCGTTGATACCCTACCACGCGGATCAAGAAACAATTTTCTATTACCGGCTGTTCTATTACGTAAGTTAAGGTGTCAATCCAACAAAATCGAATTGAAAAATGCCTCGATCATAAACTGATTTAGTGGCCATGCCATGTGTTGTATATCTCTGTTTGGAGGGTAACAGTGTAAACAAACTCATAACCTCATTTCATTTGCGCCAGGGTGGCCAAATGCGTCTAAGTCTCCTCGCAGTCAAACTTTCTTGTATTTCAGGAATCTTATGTGGATTTACTCGCTATAAATATACTGAATTCATAATTCGGACTTGATTATTTGTACTATTATTTACCTTGGTACCATTGAACATCGATGTATCGATAGGTCATAAATCGGGAGAATAAAGTAACAGCCTATCCGCCGTTAGAGATTTCTCAGTAGCAGAATCAATTTATATATCTCTAAAAAACTATTTTCATAAACTTTTTTTTTGATGATGATGAAGCCAACAATTAATGTAAAACAATTTCCTTTTGTTGCACTCTCGGATGTTCCATAAATTAGTTAGTTAGTTAGTTAATTTTATTTAACGACGATCAGCATCTAGGCTATTTACGTCGGGGACTAGGCAATTTTAAATTTTTAAATTTAGTTTCTTGAAGAGTTTTAAAATTTCTGTTACTACCATTGGACTATCTGAACACAAAGGAATTAATTGTAAACGGATTTTGGTATGTTTACGTATAAATAAAGAGATGGGGTTCACAGCTACCTTTTGTGTACAGGAGAAATGCTGATTCTTGGATAAAAATGAATTTGTCGGAGCATTCCGACACACCTTAACGAAATATTTGTGACCCTGGACTTGTTGTCATTTTCATGAATTTTAATTGCTTTCGAGTCACGATCAAATCATCGCTGCGTACTATTAATTTTTGATCATAAAAAAATATTCGAATCAAATATGGAGCTGCCGACGCACCACCAAAATTCACATTTTATTAATTACTTTTTTTCCTGTGGGAAAGGTTTTATCCTGACTAGATCATTCAAAAAAAATTCAAATTCGTCATATTTTCAATTTTTTTTTTTTTTTTTTTTTTTTTTAAAAAAAACTCATCAATACTTTTTCTAGTGTAAGATGGATTCTGTACCGAAACAAAAAACGACTATCCCGAATCAGATTAAAATGCTAACCTTATGCAATACCTACTTCAATGCTACCAGAAAAAATAAATCGTTATATTTATCAGCAAAGGTAAATGCATGTGAAGAAGGCCTAGCTGACAGCGTGGAAAATTATGGAAGAAATCTGGTGTGGATATGCCACGATCCACGTGCATTAAGACCAGTAACTACTCTGGAAGCTGATTACAGTACCCCCTGTTAGAATATCCTACGCTTGAAATATCCTATTTCATCGCTTGAATCAGCAAACGTATTATTCGAGTATCGTTTTCCTATCGTTTGCAATAAATTTTTCTATCCGTTTTCCCAATCTTTGCTGAATTGAATCTTGGTGTTGGCGTGAATGTTATCCAGAAAAACTGGTAGGAAAAGATATTCTTCGCTCCGGAAAAATCAAATCATTCTCAAAACTTTGAGGAATTATCACAGCAGATAGAGGAAGCACATCTCATTTCAAACCACTACCATCATTGGGAAAGATAGATATTGGTTGGATCATTTTTCGCTGTTGCAAAAAGATGTTTACATAGGTCAAGTTTAGTGTGCCATTATCGCAACTTCAAAAGTCGAAGTTTTCACCCGTAGATTGAGTTCCACGATTGTGGTACTATCCCAATATATTGGATAATATGGATATTTCCAATTAACAGTGGTAGCACCGCAAGTCAAATTGGGGTAACACTGCAAAATTGGGGTTAGTAACCTAATTTATTGGGGCACTACCACAATTAGTTGGAAATGCCCATATCATCCAACAACTCCTACCTTCTTTTCCGTGATACATGTGGTGCACAGTATAGAAAGCACGGTCACGCCAATCAAAAAGTACGGCGGATATAGAACACCGTACCACGGTTCTAATTACCAATTCCTTGTTTTTTCTCAGCGCATGCCGGAATTAACCCCTTTGCTGGTGTCATGTCTCTATGTTATGCACAGAGGAATAACCCCAGTAATAAAAACCAATGAACTCTGCAAACGTTTTTTGGCTCAGAGGACTATCTTAGCTTCACTTAAACTGAATTTTCTAGTTGACAGAACCAAAGTTCAGTTTGTATGGAACACCAATCGCTCGGCTTTCCGAGCCGAAGCTCGCCTCTCTAAAACGCAGTTCGATTTTGTAAACCGAACTTCGTTTGCACCAACCAAAGATATAGGTTCGTTCGACTGACGACTCACGATCAGTCCTCTGAACCGAAAATCATCTTCTACACGGAGAAAAAACTCCGTGCGTGGGACCCGAAGTTGAGGTCATATGTATCTCTGAAGTTTTCGGATCACGTATCCAAAAACTTGAGGTTCAGCTGCCGAAGTGCGGGTCAGACATCTGAAGTACTTCGATAAATACCGAAGGGTTCGAGTCACACATCTGGAGTACTCCGGTACATACCGAAGTGCCTTGATTTCTGACCCGAACTTCGGCAGCTCGACCTCAAGTTTTCGGAAACATGACCAGAAATCTTCAGAGATCCATATGACCTCAACTTCGGGTCCCATGCACGAAGTTTTTTTTCTCCGCATAATATCATCGGTGCGCAAGACCAAGGGTTTTTTTTTCAGCTTGGGGTACAACCAAAGAAAGTAATGACTTACAGGATTGTGGTATTGGCAGGGACCCTGGGGACATCCCTGAGGTCGACGGACATGCAGCGGACGGTGGTTCTGAAGCACACACACTTGGACGGGCAGGCGGGGGTGGGCTGCGCGACGTCGAGGGGTCCGGGGGCCGGGCCCTGCGCCCAGGCCAGCGGCAGGAGGAGACACAGCGCGAGGGACGGGAACATGTTGCGCGGCGGGCAGATCCGATCTCACTGATGAGTGGTGACTCGTCGGGGACGCGCCTCCAGGCCCGCCAGCCGGGTGGACAGCCGAGGAGAAGAACCAGAATAGCAACAACGCCGCTGCCAGACTTCCGTCGTCTTCGGTTCGAAGTGATCCACACGATATGAAATATTTTTGAGACACTGACTAGTTTCGAGCAGTTCGAACAACAACGCTGTGTTTTGTTTTATGATGATTGATGAGTGACGAGCACTTAAATCCCGGAGACGAAATTGAAGGTCCCTTCGCCGGCCCTGGTGGTGGAGGTGGAAAATCTCTCTCTCGGGGGCTCCATATCGACTGTTTCAAATCACTATTTGGTCGGCTTTTGAGCGCGCACCAATCGGTCTAACTAATGGCTGAGGTGCGCATCTCTACTTCGGTGTTTCTAAAGCTCTGCCTTTATTTTATCGTCTCTATGAAAACAAGTCCTTGTCGTTTGAAATTTCGACAGAATATTTTGCTAATAGAGAAGAAAAAAACAAGGAAGGTTTTAAAATTATTAAGTTGATAAGTTTTCCAAGGACGAAAGTGAATTGACCCCAATTTTCATATTACCCCCAGGATGTGGTCCATGGATGTCCGTCTTGCATATTAACGGTAGAATAACCAAACCTCGTATCTCGGTTTGTGGCGTCGCAGACCTCTTGTCATACTTTACTTTATAAATGGAAAAATACTCAACGTCAATTCTTAAAAACTTCCGTGATTTGTCCTCTCTGTGCAAAGAAAACTCCGTGAAAACTTCAAATAATGATATTGATTTGTTCTTTTTCAAAAATAAAATAGAAACAGAGATTTTTAAACATCGAAAACGAGATATGTGGTCTGGTAGTTGCACTGTCAATGTGCAGTAAATCGCGATGGCAATCTTCATATCAACACCGGGATGCAACTATTCGTGCTTCGTGGATGTCCGTGTTGCATATGCAGTGAATTGAAGGCGTTATGTTTGCCTGATGCATATGAATGGTTATAGAATCGGCGGAAAACATTGGATTCTTTTCTTCCTGTCTATTACTATCATCGCTTTTCCAGCGGTAAAAATCGAACGATTAAGTTGGGTGAGACACTTTCCACCGCTCTCTCCCTTTCGGACCGCCGCGCCACTGTCAACCTAGTTCTGTGCTAAGAATTAACATCCTCAGATCGTTTAAACGTTGCGAAACTTTTGAACTTATAAACATGTTCTAGTGTGCTTAGATTTGAAACAGAATATTGTTCACAGTGATAATTTCCCCTTTTCTTCTGCTTCTTTTTTTTACAATTCCTTAAGTTTTACTTAGTGTAAAAGTTGTAACTCGGAAAATTTGGTAGCATTCAAATATTCACACCCACGGCATTTTATTTAGCGTAGCAGTTTAGAGGCCCACAGTAACTATTAAATTGCGAAAGTTGCAGTTTTAAATGGAGGAAACTTCGTAAATTCGTGAGCTGCGCGATTGAAATGGAACGAATAAGACGGATTGTATTGTCAGTAGACTCAAATCATGATGAAATCCTTCGAGGATGCAACTACGTCGTTTAATCGATACGTCAAATTAAATCCAATATCCTGATACGCAACTCAGTTATCCCTGCAGTAGTTCGCAGAATCCATCGAATTTTATCCCGATTAAGCACGAATCCTGCGCCTGGATTGTTGAATCGTTATCGAATGAATTCAATCGATAAATAACATTGCAAGGATAGGGGTTTATCGATCAAAGTCTTTCGATAAAGATTCAACGATCGAACTGCTGAGTAGCTGCGTGGCCGAATTATTTATGCACTTAATACTCTAATCGGTTTCAGCTGTCTCAAACTCTGGCCACGATGATGTCATTCTTGACTGATGGAGCGCATCATTGCCTTGTAGTGTAAAAATTATTCACCCCGGCTGCAGACACAACAATAACATCGCTTCTTTTTTGTGCTGTACTTGGACCGCGTGAAACAGAAAGGAACCAAGTCACACACAGGAAAAAAAACACATTGGATCGAGAGTCCAGACTCTTAAAAACATCGACAAGAAAAAATACTCTTGATTCAATCGGATTTTTGCTTAAATCAAGAACCAAGCCTCTTAATTTGAGCCTAGGTATTTCCTTTTGATTTAAGCAAAAATCTGATTGAATCGAGAGTATTTTTTCTTGTCAATGTTTTCAAGAGTCTGGACTCTAAATCCAATGTGTTTTTTTTTCCATCGCGCGTGACGCAGAATGGAATCAAGCCACATCAGCTATTGTCAAATTCAATTGGAAAATTTAATTTTTACATTACATGAAAACGGTCGTGCGGATTTCTGTGCGAACTTCAGGGAATCTCTGCATAGTACGAAGCCATTCCATAAAATTTTCAAAAATTCCAAACAAACGCTCTCTGGTAAAAAAGCAAATCGCTTAGTTAAATTTGACAATAGCTGACGTGGCTTGGTTCCTTTCTGCTAGTTTGGTCCACGAACATTTGTCAAATAACGTCGTGATCTTAAATGCTGCAACGTGTTCCTGGCTGAAATGCTGATTGCTTAGATGTGTGGTTTGAAGTATATGGCGAGGGTGGGGCTGCAAAATCAAGTGTGTCCGTTTTCTACTTTATGATTTTCTGTATTGTTTAAAGTCAAAACAAGAATCGGTGCTCTTAGTCTTACATTAGTGGAGTCTAGGCCCAACCTACTTTCCTAGTCGTAGTTGCAATGTTTTCTTTGTGGTAACAGATCTTTAGGTTCTGATGGTAATAGTTTGGTTGCGATAACATAGTTGCATTGTTACGTTACAGCTCGACTTACCAAGTAGGTTGAAGTAAGTGCGAAGGTAAAATTACATTAGTGTAACCCGTAAAATTAAGTTCGACTTACTTTTACCGAAACTTATCAAGTCACATTTTAGAAAAAAAACAGGGTAGTGGCTGTTCTGAATTCGATCAGTCGCAATATTTCTCTCGTCAAAAGTTTAAAGTCGAAAAAAATATATTGAACATGATAGTAATCATTAAAATCGTGCATGACGGGGAGCTCAACAAAGGTAAAACTTCACACCTACGCCCTTCATGGGTTCAACTTTGATGCCATTTGGTGCATTTTCCATCAAAAGCCAGTTGTTAACACAAAGAGTTCAACATTGTATTTACGACTAGAGAAGTAGGTTGAACCTCGAATACACTAAGAGTATTGCAAACCATCGCATGTTCTCTGTGTGTTTTGCTTTTTTGAAGATTGATCGATCATCTTTTTTACTACAAATCGGTCGCGATCTTTACTTATTTTTTTTTAATAGTTTCCAAAACATTTTCCGAAACTCGTGTTCAACATTTTCTATTATTATTTCATTTAAAATCATGCAACAGCGAAAGCATTGAAGTACCACAATTGAGACACGACGTCCCTCTGCATGCTCACCGTTGCGTGAGAATTTGTTCAATTTTGTAACTAGAAACCTGATGGTTTGACAGATCTTATCAGAGTTTCCCATTCTGTAATACGCAGTCATCGTGGTATATAACTCTATCGTGCGTGATACTAGCATTATTACAGGGTGTCTAGCATCAGGATTTTCCCAGTTTTTCCCGATTCTATCAGGATTTGAGGTTAATTAGGATTTAATCCCGATTGCATCAGGACTTGAGGAAAAATCGGTCGTAAAATCAGGATTTGAGAAAAATCGGCTGTCCGATCGAATTTTTTCATGCTTTCACATACGTTTATGCAGAAATTTTAATTTTTCTACGCGAAAAATCAGGATTTGATTAGGATTTGGAAAAATCTTGAAATCAGAATTTAGCAGTCAAAAATCAGGAAAAATCAGGATTTCATCAGAATTTCCCAAAATGAAAAAAAATGGACACCCTGTTACAGCATAACATATAAACTCACCGATACAGCTCTGATACAAGCTTTTTTTTCGAATCCCGAAGCTGCTCAACAGAGAGAATTAAGGCAGTTGCGATGAGGCCCGAAAGGATCACAAGTTTCCTAGATTTGTCTTTCCTGGGACAAAATGACATAAAGTACAATTTGAGATGAGCCGTATCCTCCATATAATTCCAAGCCTTTCGAGACTCATGTGAAAATGAAGCTAAGCCTTTTCATTACATGAACGGCGACACTCGGGTTGATTCCAGCTTTCCAAGCAAAAATTCCCGGCGTTTTAAATTTCATCGCGTCGCGGCAAAGAAAAGAGAGGCTTTGGCGAAAAGCGACGGTATTTACTTAACGGTGGAAAAAACGAATATGGCGCATTCTTCATACTCGCATCGCTACGCGTGACTTATCGCAACACCTTTCCAGCGTGCGACTCTTCCCTCCTGTTCGTCATCGTCACAGAACGCTCGAAAAGTTGAGCATTTTTGCTGTGCTGCCGAAGAAAACGCAGAGAGGACCACATTTTTAAAATCGGAATGCATAATAAATTATAAATAATGTAATAAAATTTTCTCGTCTCGAAAAACCTGGAAATGTGAGATCAGTAAAATCACCATATCTTTTTTTTTTTTTTTTTTAAATTCAGCAACAGTATAATTTTACAAGATGCCACATTGGCTTACAAAATATAAACACTAAATAACGGCAGAAATTACTTTAGGCTTCAAGAATTTACTGAAAAATGCTATCCCCCTCAATTAAGATGAGGGTGCGTTGAGGCGGAAGCGCTTGACGGCATAGCGTCGACTGTCGCCATACGTATCTTACTAGAGATCAGTATCTCAGAAAAGTTTTGAGCAGTAACAACGAAGATTTTCAAAATCGATATATCCTCGAATCCCTACTACTTTACTTTAAATGAACTGGATCATCCAGACACAAAACAGTCAGACTCGCATTATGTTTATAAAAAATGCTAAAAGGGCAAAATAGCAGTACATTCTGTTTTTTTTCCTATTTTTAAATCACTTATTTTTATTTTTTAATTTTTTTTTACTGCTAAGCCCTCCATCTGCAGCAGCACTTAGCAAAAAAGCAGTTCGCTCAATCCAGCCTCATAATCTAGTCCACTCCTCAAACTGAAAAAATACATTTAAAACATG